ATCATCCTGCCACGCACTAAAGGTCGGCGGTTGTCACATGGCCCTATAGCTCCCTACGCAGCCGGAGGTCAAACAATAGCGTTTCAATACTCCAAGACATCGAGTGTTTAACACTTGTTTCCCATTTCGAGTGATACATATTCATGCTCTCAAAATCTCCGTTTCAAGAAAGGATAAGTCTCGGAACATAAATTAAACCACGTGTCATGTTTAACATGCATATGTGTATCATATCATTGCCCCAAAAGATGGGAAGAAACTAAAATCAATGAATTAAGAACAAGATACAGTTGGCATCTGCTGAGTGCATGTACTAGCGTGGACGATTAAGATTGGACAACCGAGATTTATTGATAATTGTTTTAACACTATAGTTCCAGATGGCATGGCTCGGAAGAATTGTTGTTGTCCATGGAGCTAAGCGATGAGAGATTTTACATGGGGTATGGATTGGAATCATGAAAACGAGATAAGTTTTGCCCTTTTGAGAGAGGGGACGTACCAAATTTGGTCTCAATGTGGAAACCCAAAACTAGCACGGTAAATACTTTGTAGGAACCCAAAAAGTTAATCCTTTTTCACAATTATTGAATCTTAATTGAGTATTGGCATTTTTAAAAGGTTAGAGTTTTAAATCTCTAACATTCTTATAACACAAAAAATCTTAATTTCAAACGTTTTATTTTTACTAAATAATTATGTATAAAGTTGAGTTTCAAATTTTTGATGTTCTCGTATTTAACAGAAAAGTCATAATTTCAAACATTTCATTTTCACTAAATACTTACGTCATATAAAGTTAGAGTTTCAAATCTCTGATGTTCTCATAGTTTAATAATGTATAAAGTTAGAGTTACAAATCTCTGATATTCTCGTATTTAACACGAAAAGTCATAATTTCAAATATTTCATTTTCACTAAATAATTACGTATAAAATTAGAATTTTAAATCTTTGATGTTTTTGTAATTAATACTAAAAGTCATAATTTTGAAACATTTCATTTTCACTAAAAACTTATGTTATATAAAGTTAGAATTTCAAATTTCTGATGTCCTCATAATTTAATCAACCCTAAAAGTTGTAGTTTCCAACATTTCTTTCTTACTAAATAATTACGTATAGAAACTAAACATGCCATAAGTCTCATTTTTGTTTAACTACTATAATTTGTATAAGGAAGAAGAGTCCAACAACAGTCCAAAAAATGTCCCCCTTGTGAATCTTGCGTTGTTTTCAAGCAATTTTCATTAATTTGTACATTTTATGTATTTGAAATTTTGTTTTATAGTCTAAAATTGATATGAATTATCAAACAAAAACCATCTAATGGAATGAAGGCTCACAATATTAGCGGACTCAATCTTCTATCAGATGATTTATGTTTTATAATTCAGATTGTAAAACACTTTGTTGTTATGTATTTCTAGCACTTGAAATAGTAGTCTCCCTAAAAAAAAGAATGACGGCGAACGGAAATGTATACCTAACCGAAAGCAACACAGGACCCGATCCCATATTTGAATCTGTTCAACAATTCATTTAAGCACATAGATTTAGAAAGATCATCGGCCTAAAGAATGTGCATATATGAATTAAATAAAAATATTTTTAACTAATAATATATTGAATTTCAATTCAGTCTTCCATACACTTCACGAGTTGAAATGATGTTATTAATTAGAGATAGAAGCCTGATCTACACGTAAATTTTATATAAGATTACAATTACTTATTTTTTATTATTAATAATTGAGACTTGCAATGATTTTTTAAATGTAGAAATAATTAATTTTAAAAAAATATAATAAAAAAATAAATCTCATTCATTTTTTTATTTTAAATATATAATGAAAAGTAATTTATTTATCTTTTATTTCATTCTACTTGTATGTCATACATTTTAAATTTTAAATTTTTTATTTTTAATTAAAATAAATTATTATTAAATTATTTAAATTATTGATATTTTAATTACACACGATATGCAATCACGCCGGCACCCAAAGAGGAAAATTCGAATATTTCTGTTTCTCTGGGGAATTTTTTAAATTGCCAGTTTTTTTTAAATAGACTTTTTACCCTCATATCCTCTCTCGCTCCTGTATTGAGTATGGCTGGATTTGGCTGTTTCCCGCGCGCTCTAGTTATAAATTCCTCTTCACTTCTCTTCATTTCCGCACTGCACTGCCATTCCTCCAATACTATTCCTCCTCCAATCACTTACTAATCTTCATTCACAAAACATAAAGAAAAATGAAGAAAGAAAACAGAAGTCGCCAGGTTCTGTCAAGGATTGCAACCAATGATAAACATGGGGAGAACTCTCCATATTTCCATGGGTGGAATGCGTACGAGAGAAACCGTTTCCACCCCACTCAGAATCGTCAGGGTGTTATTCAAATGGGACTTGCTGAGAATCAGGTTTGCTTGATTTTTTTTGCTTTAAGTTCTTCTTCACTCCAGGTAAAGACATTCGAAATTAAAAGATTCAGTTTCTTCTTCTTTTCTCAGCTTTGCTTTGATCTGATTGAGAAATGGATTAAAGAAAACCCCAACGCCTCCATTTGCACTCGGGAAGGAGCCAATAAGTTCAAAGAAATTGCCATCTTCCAGGACTACCACGGCCTTAAGGAGTTCAGATACGTACGTACAAATACATTTGGAAATGCTAAATTTGTTTCTTCGAAGTTCGGACACAAGAAATCATAGCCTAAAACTATATAACATTAACATAATATGTTTGGTCCATTAATCTATATATTGCAGGCTGTTGCAAAGTTCATGGAGAAAGTGAGAGGCAACAGAGTGACATTCGATCCAGACCGGATTGTCATGAGTGGAGGAGCCACTGGAGCAAATGAGACCATCATGTTTTGCTTGGCTGACCCCGGCGATGCTTTTCTCGTGCCCTCGCCTTATTACCCAGCGTACATAAAATTAACCTTAAACTATTTGGTTTTTCTTTTCTAGTTACTAGATTTTGATATCAGAAATTGCTACCAGTTTTTGACCAAATAAAAAAAAAAAATCAATTATACAATTATATTCAACATTGAGCAAGGAATTCAGATTATAATTCACTTATTTTTCCAAGGCATGGGGGAGGACAGCATACTAAGGGTTTCATTTGAAATAATTTAATAACTAATTTCGCTATATTTGAATTTTTATTTTTTGTTATTTTTATCTAAAAGGTCAGTGATAATTATCCAAACAAAAATCCTTTTTTCTAGCAGCCAATCCTGACATGAAATTTCAAGTTCGCTATTAATAATGGCAAAGTATAATGACATGAAAATAAAGATTAATAAATTAATGAGTTAGGTCAAGCTAATGCAATTTTGTTAAAATAACTATAATATTTATTATATTATACAATTACTTAGTATTACTATTCTAGCTAAAATATTAAAAAAAAATAATTGTTCTTTAAGATGAAGGGATTATTCTTAAACTCATGTAAAAACTTAACACACTAATTTATTTAATATTTATTGAACTATGACCTTTTACTTTTAAAACATTCAAAAAATTTGAGTAACCTTATCTTATATGGTATTTTTCTTTTCAAAAAATCAAATCAATTAGATTTTTCTAAAAAATATCTAATCTCGTGTTCCTATTTTCCACTCTACGTCCTCTCTTACTTTTTGCCCTTTTTTTTTTTCTTTTTCATGTGAAACTTTAAGCCAAAATTAATTAAGCGTATGCTAATTAATAAACCGTTGTCTTCTCTGCTACAGATTTGATAGGGACCTTAGATGGCGAACTGGAGTGCAAACAGTTCCCGTTGACTGCCACAGCTCCAGTGGGTTCAGACTAACCAGAGCAGCGGTGGAAGTGGCGTACAAGACAGCCCAGGAATCCAACATCAATGTCAAGGGCTTAATACTAACAAACCCTTCGAACCCTCTTGGAACCACCTTGGACATGGAGACACTCAAAAGCCTCGTTGCCTTCGTGAACGAAAAAAACATTCATCTCGTATGCGACGAAATCTACAGCGCCACCGTCTTCAGCTCCCCGAGATTCATTAGCGTCGCCGAAGTCATCCAGGAACTTGAGCACTGCAACCGAGACCTTATTCACATTATTTACAGTCTGTCTAAGGATCTCGGCTTGCCTGGATTCCGCGTTGGGATCGTCTATTCCTACAATGACATTGTCGTGAGTTGCGCCAGAAAAATGTCCAGTTTCGGACTTGTCTCGTCTCAAACTCAGCACTTCCTCACTTCACTTCTGTCTGACGAGGAGTTCGTGGATAACTTTTTGTCGGAAAGCTCGAAAAGGCTGGCGAAAGGGTACCATGTTTTTACTAATGGGCTGGAACAGGTGGGGATTTCTTGCTTGAAAGGAGGTAATGCCGGATTGTTCTTCTGGATGGATTTGGGACGGCTTCTCAAAGAACAGACTTTTGAAGCAGAGCTTGAGCTATGGCGTGTGATCGTCGACGACGTGAGACTCAACGTCTCGCCAGGATCATCGTTCCATGGGTTGGAACCTGGGTGGTTCAGAGTTTGTTTTGCGAACATGGACGACGAGACGGTGGAAGTTGCGTTGGAAAGAATACGGACATTCGTACTTAATAATGGCAAGAAAGAAGATGAGGCGCCGGTGAAGAAGAGGAAACGGTGGCAACGGGAGCTTCGCCTGAGCTCCTCTCCTAGAAAGTGCGAGGAGAGTATCGCATCGCCGGTCGTGCGATCCCCTCACTCGCCGATAGTACGGGCCAGGACATAATTCGGTTAAATTAGTGACACGTGGGGAATCTTTATTAGCTCCTGACTTGAGAAGCCTAACGTGCCTAAAAATGGGTTAGAGTCTTAAATTTCAACTTAGAGATTTTCATGTTGACAAGAAATTTAATAAACAGGGAGAGCTAGCTCTTTGTAAAAAAAAAAAACATGAAGCTGATAGATTTATTACTTCAAACTGTTGTAATCATCATTATAATTTAAGCTTTCAAATAAAAACTCATATTTATTTAAGTCTATCCCTTTTTTTATTAGTTTTGTATGCTCATAACTAGGGTGTCTCATAACCAAATTTTACATATTTCTTGAGTAACATCTTTCTTTGCTAATTTTTGAAGGTGCATCTCTTATGTTAGTGTAATATATATAAAGAAATAATAATATTATAGTTATAATATTATATAAAATTAGAATCTTGTATATAGTATTAAATAAATATAATGTGATATTAAATAAATATATAATATTATAAATAAATTTTTAAATAAAAAATTAATTATATAAAAATAAATTATAACATAAGCTTATAATTTCTCGTAGTATTATGATTATGACATTTTCATTAAAAAATTAATTTATCCATACAAATTTTTTCCAAGTGTGTTGCCTTAAAATTTGAATCTTAAACTTGGGTTCCTAAAACAACATTTACAAGTAAATCTAATCCTTAATTGTATGCCAATATCTTTTAACTCTTTTGTGTGTGTGTGTGTTGGGATGTGCTACCAGCACTTGGGGTGCTGGTTGTACTTGAAACCCAATGGAAGGGGGCACACTAGCACCATGGTGACTTGCACCAAGTTTCTCACCCACCAAGTTAACTTTACATTCAACTACTTTAATGTTCCACTTAATTATAAGTTAACGTCACTTAACTCAGCTTTTTAACTCATCTATATAAGAATTTTTTCACTTAAGAACTTATCATATTAAGGTTTCATTTGGGAGAGCTACATAGATACCCTTTCCCACAATACCTTATTTAAAATTAAAAATGTAAATTTATTATAAATAATTCATTTTTAGTTAATATTTATATATTTTTAGTAATTTTAATTAATATTTTACATATATTTAGGATAAGAAAAGGCAAAAGACCTAGGATGACATCACAACAAAGTACGCTCAAACGAAGCCTAAGAAAATATTAGTATATATCAATCTCAATTCACATAAAAATTTGAAGTCCTTGCCCTCAAAATACCACTCTCCAATTATTATTTTCAAAAATCAACTACTGAACAGGGAATCTCCTTAAAGAGGTGAATTCTAAGATTATTTCTTTAGTGCCTGAGGTGTCCTACCCATCTAAGATGACTGAATTTAGGCCTATATCCTGCTGCAATCTGATTTACAAATGCATCACGAAGATTATTGCTAATAGATGGAAAAAGTGTCTACCTCTATTCATTAGCTCCATTGTTGAAGGAAGGCTAATGGTGGAGAATATACTACTTGCACAAGAGTTGGTAAAAAATTATCACAAGCCTAACATGAAGCCTAGGTGTGCATTGAAGATTGATTTAATGAAGGCTTTTGACTCTGTAAGCTGAAAATTTATTTTCATAGCATTAGAAGCTTTGTCCTTTCCTCCCACTTTTAACAATTAGATTAAGGCCTATATCACCTCCCTTATGTTCTCAGTTACTCTAAATGGGAATTTAGAAGGCTATTTTCCTAGTAAGAAAGGGATAAGGTAGGGTGATCTTTTGTCACCATACCTTTTTGTTATTTGTATAGAGGTTTTATCAAGGATGCTCAACAAAGCAGCCAAGGAGAGAATGCTACCTTTCCATCCAAAATGCAGTAACGTTGGATTGACTCATCTATGCTTTGCAGATGATTTACTAGTATTCACTGACGGTTCAGCGAGAGCAATAAGTGTTGTTGATTCTATATTGAGACAATTTTATTTGGCCACAGGTTTAAAGGTGAACTACCATAAGTCAAAAAAATTTTGCTATGGAATGCAACTTAATGTAAGAAGCGAGCTAGCTAATTTGTATGGCTTCAAAGTGGGAACCTTTCATGTTAGATACCTTGGGGTACTGCTTGTAACTGGAAGACTAACAGATGCTGCTTTAAAGCCTCTTATCACAAAAATAATTGAGAAAATCAATTCATGGACTTCCAAATATCTATCATTTGTAGGAAGATTGTAGCTTATTTCATTTGTTCTTCAGAGCATAACAAAGTTTTGGTGTTCTATTTTCATTCTACCAAAAAGAGTAATTAAATCAGTGGAGGGAATTTGCAATGCCTTTCTTTGGAAAGGTAGAGCAACTAATGCAAAAGGAGCCAAGGTAAGTTGGGCAACAATATGTCAACCAAAGATGGAAGAAGGATTAGGCTTGAAGCCTTTGCATAATTGGAATGTGGCTTGCATTTTGCAATTTATTTGGCTACTTCTCACCAAGGCAGGCTATATTTGGGTGGCATGGGTGCAAACATATTTGCTTAAAGAAAAGAGTTTTTGGTCGATAGGAATTCTTGTAGACACTACTTGGAGCTAGAGAAAAATCCTAAAACTTAGAATATATGCTAGACCTTTGATGAAGCATATAGTTGGTAAAGGTGACACTATTTTTCTTTGGTATGATTCTTGGCATCCCAAGGGACCTCTTATTAAAGTATACAGGCAGAAAATTATATGGGATGCAGCCATTCCCTCTCAAGCAAAACTATCTCATGTAATCCAAGGGGATTATTGGAAATGGCCTTTTGCTAGGTCCCTTGAACTATTGCAGATTCAAATTGCTTTGTGTGGAACGTTATATCATAATCAAGCTATGGAGGATTAGGTTGTTTGGTTGGCTTCTCCATCAGGTTCTTTTCGAACAGGTGCTACTTGGAACTTCCTTAGTGAAAAAAGATCTAAGGTACCTTGGTTTAGACTCATTTGGTACTCAAATTCTATTCCCAAACATACTCATATTGGGGAAAAGATTTCTTCTATGTTGGAAATCCCATTAAACTGCATTTGGCAAGATGCTTTGGATTGGTTATGTAAGAGAGTTTAACATAAGGCATTGTATAGCTCTCTTCATAAATTAGCTTGGTGTGCATCAATGTATCATATCTAGATCGAAAGAAACAACAAGATACATAAATAGCTATACAAATCTCCTTCTGCAATAACTGATATGATTCAAATGGATGTCTGAAGCAGATTATTAGGGTCTGTAAAGGAAAGGTCTTCTCCCATGTCAAAGAGAATTGCAGCTCAATGGGGATTAGAAATTTTATGTACAACTAAGGTTTGAACATACATTAGTTTAGGAGTTGTTTCATTCTTTGTACTAGCATTAGTAGTAGTCTTAACCAAAAGAGCTGCTTTGTGTAGATTTTGGTAATAAATTCACATTTTACAAAAAAAAAAAAAAAATCAACCACTTGATCAAATGATCTATTTATATAAATCATGCATACTAATTTTTAAATTGGTTAAATATATCTAATTAGTTGATTAATTGCACAAAATTTAATATCATTAAATATATGTTAGAAAATACAATTTCTTGATTGAATGATTATAAATGTTAGATTTACTTGAAAATTAAAATGCATAATATTTACATCAATCATGCAAATTGATGATTAGGGCATGAGATTAGGGGCATGGTTATTGCCACACAATTTAGTTAAGGCTATACAAAATATTTGTTTGGCTCTTAAGAATGATAGATAACTATAGCTATTAATTGATAAAACAATTTATATTTATCGCTTAACAGATTAAATTTTACCCATAAACTGATATTTCTAAATACTGTAACTTGTTATTTAAAGAAAAAAAATATAACTTC